TCCAAGTACACGACATAGACTAGGTGTACTGTTATACCTTGTCTAGTATGCACTCGGAGAACACAAGGAGTTGTTACACGAAATCTCTACGAGATGGACTATAAGCAGTAGAACTACTAATTACAATACAGACTTGTGCTCCTGAACTGTCCAACTGGACAATCCAAGAAGAGCTTCATTAAAGATGACTAGGTATCTCTAATGAAGATTCTTGGACGGGTCTAAGGCCATTTATGCATGCATGCGCCATTAATGATTGCATCCCGGTGGTGCAATCTAAATTAGTACTATCAAACATACTAGAAGCATATCTAGTATAAAGCATATTAATGAAGAAACCAAAAGTTTCTACAATGCTCTTGATAGATTATGATAGATTCAAGAAATATATTGCTCTCTCAAATCAATCAATAATGGAATAATTTTGGCAGGAACTCATGGATGTGGGAAGTTCAAACCCACTACCCAAACCAATAAGTGTACCAAAGATCGAATACTTCTAATGATGATGATGATGATGATGATTTAGAAACATCAAAGAGCAACCACCAAATGAGGAATCACATTTACAATCACAATTACAATCACAATCATATTAGTTGAGGAATCACAATCACAATCACAATCATAGTCATCCACGTTAATACCTATGAAGAAAACTTGTTTGAATTGAAGACCAAACTTCACCATATAATACTACAAATCAAAACAAAGTTACATGCAAGACAATTCTTTCACATGCTAGCTAGATGATTATTTATTTATTTATTTATTTATTTTGGGTCAAATAACCCTCCAAATGAAGTTAATTGTATCCTACACTCTCTCAAATTAATCTATCATGACATTATAAAATTAGAAATTAATTAAAGGGTTAATTAGTAAAATGTCTATTCCTATATGGTCATGTGTTATCCAAGATTAATTTTTCTTTTTTATTTTTTCTGATAAGGATATGTTTTACTGTTCATTCTATTCTATGATCCTTAGAAACCTATATGGTCATGTGTTATTTCCAACATGGAATGCATGTGAACCATTCTATTCTATGATCCTTAGAAACCTGCTCCCACATCTGTGTCATAAAATATAGAATGAAATAATGTTGAATTTATATATTTAGTAGCAGCAATTAGCTGTGTATTTCATTATTACATTTCCTTACAACATGTAGATTGGAAAACCCAAAGCATTTCTCCTTTATTAAACTGTTGAAGATGCATATAGTATATAGGTAAAATGAAGATGCACTTTTGAGGGGTCCCCAAGTACTTTTTTGAATAATTGGTGCCAAGGATCTATGGGGAATTTAGGTGTAATCCTGTTGCCATTGTGAGGAGATTGAAAGATGTGGGCCTTCATGGAATAGAGGTTTATAGAAGTGATGGAAAACTGGCAGGTATGAGAATGATTTATTCCCATAAATGCTTACTTGTTTGTGTTCTGAATTTGAAAGTGAACTGGATGTCAAGTGGTTGCTTTAATAATTGGAAATTTGTGTTATTTAGAATTTAATCTATGTGGGTTTTATAGAGTATAGTGTATGCATAGAAAATGATTAGTACCGTCAGATGACAATGAGATTTGAAGTGTTTTTTTGAAATGTGATGCATTTAAATTAGTTACAAATTCTGTTAAAATTTATCCGTTAGTGGTTTTTGACATTAAATGTAATGTGCAACCACAAACTTAACCCCAAGTCTGTACCTTAGTTGGGCTGACCCGACCTGAATTACGCTTAGAATAGCCTTGGGCCTAGTGTTTGAAACCTGGCCCAGCCCATGAGAGGCAGCCAATTAGCCTGTGAGAGGCAACATGTCGGCCTGGTTTCCCAGCTCATTGACTCATCTGGTCCAAGCCCACTAGGTAGGGCTTGGGCCTATGGTTTTGGCTTGCCGTTCGGCCCAACCTGACATTTCAGAAAATGCCCCCATGGACAGACTTGGGCATCATTTTCGAGGGCTGGCTTGGCTTGATGCTGACCCTTGATCAAACACTTACGACACTGACTACTTCTTGGGAAATGACTTCGTTGACAACCCTATAGCTTTTTTTCTTCAGATTTTAAAGACTTTTTACTGTTCATATCTTGATTCACTTCTTTGTCAACAGCATACAGTGACCTAGCAGATGCCTATGATCTAATGAAGCTTGGAGGGTCGGATTTTCACGGGAGAGGTGGGCAGAGTGAGTCTGATTTGGGAAGTGTGAACCTTCCAGTTTTGGCTGTGCATGAATTACTTAGGACAGCCAGACCGATTTGGTGCGGTGCCATTAGAGGCATTCTAGAAAATTACACTGAAGATCCATCTCAGTTGAAGTTAGAGAGGATCATGAAGTTTGGGAAGACTAGAATCTTCAAGAATGGTTCACTTACTAAGAGCAACAATGATTTGATTGATCTTTGCTTGTCGTCATGGTTGACAAATGAAGAAATGCAGGACTCAGTGTTTGAGGCCATCAAGTTGAAGCTTTCCCAAATTTCAATCAACGACGAAGGAATTCAAGCCCCAACAGCAGTGAAATAGTCTTTTTTGTACCTTATTTGTGGCCAAACTGAGGATGATCTATGGATACAATATCATTTAAATGTCTTTTTTCTTTCAGAATTTTCAAGTGTTAATTAGTTTTAAGAAACAAATAACAAAAGGAAAGACAAAAGTTCTTAATGCATAGTTTTGGATAACTTGAACATGTTTTGGGTGAAAGAATCCAAACAAGTTTTGGGCTGTATAAGTATAGATTGTATTGGGAGTTTTGTATCAGGTGTTTTGTTTGTTGGTTGATTTCTCGCTAATCATTTTTCTTGCTATTTGGTTTTTCCTAATTGATGCGTAGCACACTATGCTCTCTTTTTTATAAATAAGTAAATAAAATAGTAGATGGCTAATGAAGAGGCACTTCATCTACCAGAAAGCACCGCACCTACGAGACAAACCCTTGCTCTCAAATAATTGGGGTCTTCAAGGACATATATAGGTTTGTTTGCTTTGAGTGGTAGGATCAAGAACATGAAAATTTCACACAATATCTAATGTTATGTTTGGATTTTAAATTTATCAACAAAAATAAAATAAAATAAAATAAAATAAAAATGATAGAAATAAATTTAGCTTTTCTTTCATGATCCAAACATGACCTAACAACATAACTTTTATTACAAGTTGGTTATAAAAATGGTTTCAGAATCTCTGATCTCTGTCTGACTCTGTCTCTCGCTCTTATATGATTACACCAGGTGGTCAATTCTTACCTGCCAAACCGGCAGCACTTTGCATCTACTTCAATTTCTTCATATTATAATGTTAAATTACCACTAAACCTAAAATCTTAAATGGTTAATAAATAAGTTCAACAAAGTATATCAAACTCCCCTCCTTTAACTCCACTTAATCATCAATTCTTGTGGTTTCTTAATCATCAATTCATCTAACTCCAATGCATTCTTCTAGTTTGTCAACTTTCCTGTTATTACAAAAATACTAGCTACCCAAAAAATTTATGAAGAAAAATATCTAAAAATAGCATTGGATAATCAAGATTCATTTCAAATGTCAGTCTCATTACAAAACTAAATCTAAACCACACCATCAGTCAATATTCTAGATAAATTTCAAAACAATTTTCTAGTTTCTTAGCTTTTCTGTTATTGTAGACGAAAGATTCCTTGCAAAAAGTAATCAATAATATTCAAAAATCACATGCAAGAGATAGCAAGAGAGAAAGAGGCCCCCTCCCCGTTTCCGCACAGGGCGGGGGAGGCAGGCACAAAGGAAGACCAAACTACAGTTTTGGATTGGAAAAGGAACTAATAATCCATTTTCCATTTGAAAAGAGTGCAAACCATAAGAGAAGTCTAGTCTTTTCTGGTTTCTTAGCTTTTCTATTATTGCAGAGGAAAGATTCCTAGTGAAAAGTAATCAGCAATATTCAAAAATCACACACAAGAGATAGCAAGAGAGAAAGAGGCCCCCTCCCCGTTTCCGCACAGGGCGGGGGAGGCAGGCACAAAGGAAGACCAAACTACAGTTTTGGATTGGAAAAGGAACTAATAATCCATTTTCCATTTGAAAAGAGTGCAAACCATAAGAGAAGTCTAGTCTTTTCTGGTTTCTTAGCTTTTCTATTATTGCAGAGGAAAGATTCCTAGTGAAAAGTAATCAGCAATATTCAAAAATCACACACAAGAGATAGCAAGAGAGAAAGAGGCCCCCTCCCCGTTTCCGCACAGGGCGGGGGAGGCAGGCACAAAGGAAGACCAAACTACAGTTTTGGATTGGAAAAGGAACTAATAATCCATTTTCCATTTGAAAAGAGTGCAAACCATAAGAGAAGTCTAGTCTTTTCTGGTTTCTTAGCTTTTCTATTATTGCAGAGGAAAGATTCCTAGTGAAAAGTAATCAGCAATATTCAAAAATCACACACAAGAGATAGCAAGAGAGAAAGAGGCCCCCTCCCCGTTTCCGCACAGGGCGGGGGAGGCAGGCACAAAGGAAGACCAAACTACAGTTTTGGATTGGAAAAGGAACTAATAATCCATTTTCCATTTGAAAAGAGTGCAAACCATAAGAGAAGTCTAGTCTTTTCTGGTTTCTTAGCTTTTCTATTATTGCAGAGGAAAGATTCCTAGTGAAAAGTAATCAGCAATATTCAAAAATCACACACAAGAGATAGCAAGAGAGAAAGAGGCCCCTTCCCTCCCACACAGAGCGGCGGAGGCGGGCACAGAGGTAGACCATACTGTAGTTTTTGATTGGAAAAGTAACTAAGAATCCATTTTCCATTTGAAAAGTATGCAAACCTCCCATGCTGAATCTCTAAATCACAGAGCTGAACTGACAGAGATAACTAGGGTTTAGACAGCACAGAGAGCGAGAGAGAGAAAGGGGGAGAGAGAGAGAGTAGCTCACCGATCTGAATTGATTTTGAGAGAGAACTTCGAAATGGCTCGGATGAATCACCGATCTGAATCGATTTTGAGCGAGAACTTCGAACAGTGCAGAGAGGGCGAGAGAGACGGAGAGACGGAGAGAGAGAGACCGCGAAAGTGAGAGTGGGAGTGAGAGCGTGAGAGTGAGATTGAGATTTTCGCTTATACTGCTTATCATATTCAAAATAAAGGTGAAACAGGAGAGGAGGAGGGGGTCGAACAAAAGACCATTCCAAGGCGTTTAAAAAACGTCTTTGATTCTTGAAACAGCGCCGTTTCAATTACAGAAAAACAAGACGTTTCTAAAACGCCGTTAAATATTAGAAACAATGGCGTTTTAAAAAACGCCGTTAAAAAAACGCCGCCTAACCCCATATTTCCTGTAGTGGTTGGTCTGTTGGCTGAGAAGTTTGCTCATCTGGTGGATGCTCTTATTTGATTTTCACTATTGTGCGGTGTAGTTTTCCCCTTCCCCTATTTCCATCTCCTGGGGATTGTTGAGATTCGCCAAGACTAGTATATGATGAATGCATCTAGATTCATCGTGCATCCATACTCTTGAGCCATCCTTCCTACTGACACACATAGTCACACAAGATGCATAAAACATAATTTATATACAAAAATTTGATTAATAAATTTTGTCTTGATGTTCTCTAAAAGTGGAGGAGGTGTGTTCTGTTCCTAAAATTATTTACCAGTGTTTTCGAACTTAATTCATCATATTTCCCCATAACAATTTGGGTTTGTACTGAAAAAGAAATGAATTAGAACAATTATGGACTGCTGCAATGTCTCTTTTGTAATGAATATTGTTACCTGGGTAAACTTGTGAACATTTTCTTATTGATATAGATCACTTTTTCGTTGCGTGGAATGCTTGCACAGTGAATAATGATTACATATTTTGGTTTTGTAGAGTGTAGAGCTACTGCTCAATAGCAGCAATATTATCAGTACCTCATTGGAACTGAATGCAATGAACTCAAGCGGTTTGACAGCAATGGATATCATGGACATAGTAACCGAAGGTCCCAGCGACATCCAACTCAGAGAAGTTCTCCAATCTGCCGGAGCACTTAAAGCTTGCAACATCAATGGCATATCTATAACTACTTCCATTCATCAATTCACAACCAACAACAACCGAACCAATCAGGAGTTGCTTCCTCTTCAAGAACCTTCAAAGGATTGGTTTAAATATTTTAAATTTCAACAACAAAGAGATTCTCCAAGTGATGCGCGCAATACATTGTTAGTGGTGGCAGCACTTATTGCAACAGTGACATTCCAAGCAGGTGTGAACCCTCCAACCCGCTTTGCTTCCCCGGCTGTTACACCACCACCACCACCACTAGGTGTGCAACCTCCAACCCACTCTGAAAATGAACCAGCTCTAATTGTTCCTCTTTTAGGTGCAGCCTCTGGAAATTTAGGCTCTTTAGCTTCATCAACTTGGTTTTTGTTTTTGTTTGCGAACACTCTTGGTCTTTGTGCATCACTTAGCATTATAATATATCTCACAGCTGGATTTCCTTTCCAATGGGAGCTACAAATCTCTATATATTCAATGATGTTTGCTTATGGCTCTTCAACTGCTGATTTCCAACCACATGGAGGCACTCATTTCCTAGTTTTTGGGATTGCCTCTGTTTTGCCCTTTTTGTCTCGGTGGCTGTCACAATGGGCAAAAAAGGCTTGGAGATTTTGGAAAAATTGTTCGCTTTGAGATATCAACCTTCTCATCTTTTCTTGGAAATGGCTTGGCTTGTTCTACTATTACCAACTACTACGCCAATAAGAAACCAAAGACTCTGCATAACCTTGTAGCTTGACCAAAAGCTTTATTAGAGATTGTTGTGTGTTGGTGTAAAGACGTTGACGAGTTGAAAAAATAAGCTTGTTTTTAGTAATTTGGGAGTTGTGTTTTCTTATATACATTAGGTTTATGCACGTAATGGAGAAGTGTTATGTTAAAAGATTTTTTAATGGTATGTTGATGTTTAGTTGTGTTTTCAAGTCTATATATCACTTTGTAATTTACTTATTTAAAATGTAAGTGAATAGTTTTTCTTCTCTAATTCTCCTTCAAATTTTGCAACTTTATGTTAAAAAATTGTTAATTTAGTGAATGTATGATGTACTCTTTCTTCATTTGGAAATTGATTATTTTAATGTTTTTTTAGCTTTTTATTTTAAAAAAAGGTAAAAAAATAAAGAGAATAATATAATTATAATAATTTTTTGACTAAAATAGTCTATTGGCAAACGGGAACAGAATAGTGATGTTAAATGCTTCTAGTGAAATAACTATGCTTTGGGGATTTAATCACTAAAAATAGATAATAAATAAACTATCATAATTACAAAAAATCAATAATAATAAGCTATATATATATATATATATAGAAAAAAACGTAGATGGAGATCACAATAGCAAAAGAATAATGTAAAATTAAATATGAAGATATATAAGAATAGCTTGCGAGATTTATGAGATGCATTCTTCTTTCCTTATGCAACTAGCGACTATCGAATAGTACTTACAAATACAATTCAGAATTTCACAAAATATGTAATAGGGATAATAGGGTTGGGTTTTTTTAAATCTCAATATGAGAGAATTTGAAGAGCCTGTAGAGTTCACCAGAGGCCCTGTTTTGTTGATCAAAATTGTTTGTTTTGTAAGATTCTCAATACAAATCATCCACGAAAAAATTAGTTTGATCTTATAAGTGTAACCTTTTGATTTTATCGCATTTATTTAAAAAGAATAGATAATAAATATATTTTTAAAAATAGACCATTTATATATTTTAAAATAAATACGATAAAATCAAAAGGTTACGATTGAGAGAGAAACTCAACCTATATAATATTATGAAAAATACTTTTCCTAAAACAATTATGATAGAGACTCCCACACATACATGACCCCCACAACCCCCACTCTCATCACAACTATTCATAATGTGGGGCCCACACATACATAAGTGAATCTCACACACATATCAAACGCCAAGATTAAATTGGGGGTCATGGAACCCCTAAAAAAAGGGGTCCCAAACATTTCTGTTCCTAAAAATTGAAAACAGACAAGGCTTAAATTAATTGGAAACTTCCTCCTCTCCCCCTTCTCATTGACTAGAAAACTAAACATAAAACAAAGTATCGGCAAATGTCGCTTAAAAAATTATAGCCAACCTTCCTGAAAATATATTTTTTATTTTGTTAAATCACTTTACTTAATGTATATTTGGACAATATCTTTTGACTAGAAAACTAAACATAAAACAAAGTATCGGCAAACGTCGCTTGAAAAATTATAGCCAACCTTCCTGAAAATATATATTTTTTATTTTGTTTAATCACTTCACTTAATGTGTATTTGGACAATATCTTTTGTATATTTGGACAATATCTTTTGACTAGAAAACTAAACATAAAACAAAGTATCGGCAAACGTCGCTTAAAAAATTATGGCCAACCTTCCTGAAAATATGTTTTTTATTTTGTTTAATCACTTTACTTAATGTATATTTGGACAATATCTTTTAAAGTATTTCTAACATACTAGGCGTATAACGTGTGCTAATTAAAATGCTTAATATAATTTATTTTTTTCAACTTCAATGCTCTAGATATATGATTAAGTATTTTGTTTCAAATATCTAGTATAACTTTGGACGTGGATTCTCCTACTCTTGTAATTGCATAACAACTTAAATTTGATTGTTTGTTCTTACATTTTATTTTATTTTATTTTATCAAAAATAAACGACAACCTAACAAATATTTTTCTTAATTTTGTTAATTAACTCATTTACTGGGGCGTAATCAAAATTTCATCACTGGAAGGGCCAAATTTTGGGTGCTTCTATTTACACATCACATTTAGTCTCGAGGCATACTACTACTCAGTTCACACCTTTGATAATTTGAAAAAAATATAATTTTTCTCAACACACACCACAATGTTTCATTTTTACCCTCAATCCCACACCACTTAGTACACACCTCAAATTCAAACAAACAACGCAAACCAACATAGAGTCCAAGAAACTAGAATCCCAATGTAACCCTAAAACATAAGCAAATCAAACACTAAAATATTACAATTTTATGCTCACAGCACCAAAAGAAAGTGAATTCACCGTGATAAAATAGAATCAAACCACATAATTGAAGTCTGTATTTAGGACCCACCTCAATAATAACAAGTAAAAGCTTTTGCTTCAACAGTGAAACCCCTCGCTTGCATCGAATGCTTCGCCATCAGAGATTTCTCTTGTGCACCCATCACGCTTCTCAGTACAAAAGCTACGGAGATTGAATTGGAAACTTGGATTGAATTGAAATTAGGGTATTGGATGGTCGAGAAGACAGATAGCAGGGAAGAGAAAAATGGAAAAGGGGTTTGATTATCGGGAGGTAAAAGAATCAATAGAAACCCTAAACGGCCATTGACGACTTGTAGTGAAACTTCGGTGGTCTCTCTCTCTCTCTCTCTTGCTTGTCTCTATGAAGTGTTGGTCATTTTTGGCATTTTAGGTAAGGTCATTATTGTAATAAAAAACAACTAATTAATGGTGTGCTTTGATACAAAATGTGGTGTGTAAATGGAGGCACCCCCAAATTTTGCATAAAAAATTTCCATCATACTCTAGCATACATAGATACAATATGATATGTAAATTATATATATACATAAAGAAATAAATACCATGGAAGTAATTTTTTATTGGATAATAAGCTTTTTTGGTGTAAAATAGAGAATGAAAGATTGAAAAAGATATGAAATAAGATATATATTTTTTAAAATGTTAAAGGCAAGATCCGAGAAGATATAAAATATAAGATATATATTTTTAAAATTTTTAAAAGCAAATAATATCCTTCAAAAAATAGGGATCATGGCCCCACAATCTTCCCTTACTTCCATCACTACTTATTGAGTTGGTACAAATAATTGGCTAGGAATCGTTCACAAAGAAATGGAGCAAGGAGTAGGGAAGCCAGGAGCAGCAAAGTGTCGAGGAACAGCAAATAGCGAAGATGGAGGTTAGATACCTGTTTTTCAGCAGAAGCAATGAAGGAGTATGGGAAATACGAGTATTCATACATTATTTGTGGACAATCTTCCAGAGTCTACGGATCCTAAAGGTCTTTTTAACATGTTCACAAAGTTTGGTATGGTCAAAGATGTGTTCCCACTCAAGAGAAGAAAAACAACAAGATCAAGATTTGGTTTCGTCCGTTATGATTGTCATGTCGCAACAAAGTTGGCTATACAGAAGGTAAATGGAGTTTGGTGTGATAACGGATCTTTGTTATGTAAGAGTGCACCATTAGAGGAGAGGGAAGAAAACTAGTTAGGGAAGAAGTTGAGCATGAAACCGTTAAGAGAGAACTGGGTAGTCTCCACTAAATTAGGCCTATCCTTTTGCACACTTAGACTTTAGTTGTGAGGCTACCGCCATTGGAAAATGGACTTCTGACGCTTCATTTTAGACCCAAGAATCTCCTAAAGCCAAGTTCGGATGAAGGAGATATGGCTATTTGAAGTTAGACATCAATCTGATTAAGACCAAAACTAAGCAACCTTCACTAAAATAGGCATATCTCTTTGAACGCTTAGCATTTAGAGATGTGAGGTTACCATCATTGGAAAGTAGACTTCTAGGGCTTCAATTTAAACTCAAGAATGACCTAAAATCGAGTCCGGATGAAGGAGATATGTCCATTTGAAGTCGGGCCTAGAAACAGATTTTTGGTGGCCGGCATGTGGCCGGTAGGTAGCCGACAAATGGCCTGCCAGACACCATTGATGGCCGGCAATGCACACTTCTGGCCGGCCGGCCATGTACCGGCCACTGGTGTAAATCCCATATATTTTAGCCAATTGTTTCCACAAACTCCAGTTGTCCCTTTTTAGATATTTTCGACCTAAGGCTCATTTTTTCTATCTATAGAGGACCTCTCTTCTTGTTTTCAAGGTTAGAAACATTTAAGGAGTTAGAAAATTTTTGGAAAATATCCTCTCTCTCTACAATTCTCTCTCTCTCTCTTGCAACTTGCATAGCCTTTGCCCAAACACTCTAAACCAAACCTAGAGAGCTTCTTGTTGAGGTGATTTGAGCTTGAATTTGGGCTCTTGAAGCAATTGAGAGTGTGAAATTAGTGATTTATGACTTAAGGGTTCATTCCTCTTCAAGAGGTATACATTTTCTTGCCTTTGTATAATCTTTACACCACTTGTTTTTCATCTTTTCTACTATTTTTTGAGCTATTTAAAACATGTTTTTATGGGCTGAAACTTGTGGTTTAAAACTACCAAAGGTGGAGGGGTTAACCACCCTTCCTTGAACCTTATTCTCTAAGCTTTTGCCCTTGTATTTCCCATTCTTTTCTCAATTTTTTTGAGCTTTTTCCACTAATTTTCAAAGGTTTTTAGAGGCTAGAAAAGTGGTTTTGAACTCTGAAAAGTGGAGGGGTTAGCCACCCCTCATTTGGCTTGTTTGCTAGCTTAAATTGTTCAATGTTTTAGCTTATTATTTTAGCTACTTTTGTCTCCATTCCAGCACTTTTTTGTATTGTTTTTGGGCTGTCAAAACTCTATGTTTTTCGGGCTGAAGCTTAGGTTTAAGGCCATTAAAGGTTGAGGGGTTAATAGCCCTTCTTTGTACCTTGTTTGGAGGCCTTTGCCCTTATGTTTCCCACCCTTTTACTATCGTTTTCCAAACTTTTAAACACTAATTTTCAGAGCTTTTTTAGTGGCCAAAATCATGTTTTGAAGTTCAAATTTGGAGGGTTAGCCTCCCCTCCTTGTGTCTTGCTTACTAGCCTAGTTGGTGCCATGTTTTAGCATGTTAATCTAGCTTGTTTTAGCTCAATTCCAGCATGTTTCAGGACATATTTTAGACTATTTTAG